CCCCAGAAAGTCAATCACTTTGGTGGTATACTGAGACCAAGGAGTTCCTTTTAGTTTGTGACTCAAGCAATGTCTTGCAAAAGCTCAGGTCTGTGGCTAGGTGGGAGATGGCTACACCAAGCAACAGCTGCCCGACGAGCATGTTTCAAGGCTTCACTTCTAAATATTCAATGCTTTAAATAACACAGCACCTGTCCTACTCGGTGGGGGGCTTGTTGCTGTCTCCCTTGTTGTGGCAGCTGAGAGTGACAGAACTGACAGAGTTGACCGTTCCCAGGAAGAATCATGAGAAGATGAATAGGTCTCATGCAGAGGGAAGAGACAGGACTCCATACAATATAGAAGGGATTCATTGAGGCTGGGGGGATAGACACTCTGGTTGTCTGTGGCTCTCTAGCTTCCAGAATCACTACACAGGATCCCCCTAAATACTGACAAACACAACAGTCATGCTCTAGTTTAGCCAGTGCCTTTCCAGGTGAGGGCCTGAGAGTCTCCCCGCAGCACAGGCTAGCTCATTCAGCCACAGTATACATGTTGTTTCAACTTAAAATGTCTATTTATGCCAAGTGTTTTTCATTGCAAGGGTCAGGGATATTTGGTTCTCTCATTTTGTTCCATTCCAATTTATTTGGGACACGTCCCATGGCAAATTATGGTTTTAAGGGTTTTTGTTGATTTGTTAAGGGACTCAGAGACCATCAGGCTTTGGGCACACTACTCTGTAAATTTACCTACATCTCAGGGCTGCAGTGAGAAATAGATAGTTATCTATCCAAATCTCTAAATCAAACTTATTACCCAGTAGACATTAATATAATTTGAATGGATCATACCGTAGTCCAAGACACTGATTAAAGATAATTTAAGAGTAAGCAGTCACCTCCACTACGTAGGTTTCATTTTCACAGCAAATGTGCTAGTATTGACATAACGCACAGTGCAATAATTCAGTCAATATTCAACTTTAATAACTTCATAAAAGATTTGGAGACAGCTTCACATACAGAAACAAAACTCTGCACAGCACAGTAAAGAGTGAAGCAACTGGAATTATAGACGCTTAACATCCACTTGTTCTTCAGCAACCTCATCCTTATTCAGTGGCACAGAAAGTTGCTGCATGTTGTTTGGAAAGCAATATGAACCAGAGGAAATATATCCATGGCCAGGCTGTGATGACCCATAATGAAGACCTATGAAAAGTTACTTTTCTTCAGCTAACTTGTAAAACATTTCAAATTAGCATCTTACTGCATGGGCTTAATTTTGGCACTGGAACTGCAGATGTGATTGTATGACAGAAACCATGTTATCTGCTGAGTCAAGGGGTTAACTGAAAAGGTGTTTCTGACTTATTAAAAATATTTTTCAAGTGTTTTCCCCCATAAGCCTGGGGGTTGGAGACTTTTTAGCTAAGCACTATGCAAATGAACTAGAGTATAATTATTTTCACATTCTGTTCTAATATAACAGTTACAGCAACAGAAGTTGTTAGTTTTAGTAAACTGTGATACTATCAAAAATATAATTTATTAACCAACATGTACAATAAATTTCACCACTGACTTTAATTTAAACGTCTAGCAAAACTCATTTTCCCACAAGCTGACATTTGGTTAAGACAGTGCAGAAGCTATACATTATACTCTAAAAACGTACATGGAACAAGTTCAGCTGTTGTCCAAACCTGAGTAGCAGTTTGAGACTCAACAAAAGATGGGTACAAGTGCAGCAGAAAAAAATGGAAGCCTCATAGGAATCTTGCCATTTCCTTCCAAAAAAAACCTTTGAACTCACAGGTTTGTAATACAAAGTAGTAAAACTCCTGTGTTCAAGTTACTCAGCAGTTTCAAACACAAATCAATTATAACTTTATATTTTGCAATGACTTGAGTGGTGATATCCTTTATCAGTATTAAGATGAGGGAAAGAGGAAAATATAAGCCCTAACTCTCACAAGCAATATAATGATGGGTAAAACAGTCTTCTCTCTCTAGTCAATTAAGGCTTGATACAGCTCCCACTGACATCTGGGGAAAGGTTCCTATTCACTTCAGTGGGATCTAGATCAAGTCCTTTGCAGCAATTATTTATCGTGCCATTTTGTTTCCTAGACAACTACTTGCAACTATCAAACCAACTAACTGATATTGAAGTGCCAGTAAAACCTGAACATGCTGCTACTACAGTGGGGGGAAAATCACAAGTTTTCCTCTACCCCTCTGTAATACTAGACAACGAGATTCAGCAGAGTTAGATATGCAAGATCTGAAGCCAGCTTGGTACAAAAGAGCAGGTCTTCTCTGTTAAGGCCTGATATTGCTCACATTGAAGTTAGTGGAAATTTTGTCATTAAATTCAAAGAGATCAGTATCAGACTCGTAGTGAGTCATGTTCAACACTTGCTTGATATTTGTATTTATTCCTTTTTTTCCTCCATAAAGGAGATTTATTTATATTCTGATCCTCTATGGCAGAGGTGATCAGGTGTGCAGGGCCCAGTGTAAAGGATTAGAAGCACACACATCACCCAGTATGAAACTGCCCAAATGACGCAGGCATACTGTACTGCAAAGAGGTAACTGGAATACTTTATTAAAAGCAATGGATCCCCCACTTGCTCAGTGATTGAACAAGAAGCTGGCTTTATTAAAAGACCAGCAGCCAGCATCTGCAGGCTTGCAAGATTAACAGTGGCACTTCATGTGAGCTAAGCTAGATGTGATCTTTGTTTATATTCTGATACTCCATGTTAACTTCATGTATTCTAAATTTTTCATCAGAAACTACCACTTTTAAAGTAATATTAGCTGAAAAAATATTCTTCCCCACTTTTTTGAAGTATTAACATATTTGACTAGTCATCCTGACAGACAAAAAACACAGAGAAAAGGGAAAATTCTACAAAATACAACGAAGCAAAAATGATTTTGTTCCTTGGACAAGGAGATGAGGTCTTATTTTTATTTTAAGACACCACTCACACATCCTTAAAAGCAGTAATAAAGGAACTATATTGGGGACAACTAGTGAGAGAACCAAGTTGTATAAAGATCAAGGGGTGGGTAACCTCCGCACAACCCGATCTAGACTGGAAACACCAAGCAACTGAAGTTGAGCTAGAAAACCCATGGCATTCAAGAGAGATCCCACAAAAGTGGGAATCTCTATTGTAAAATTGGTGGCCCACCATCCAACCAGCAATATAACTGTGCCCTCTGAGTTTGCACAGTTTGTTCTTCACATCGGCCAGTTTGAAACAACACGGAAGACAGACACCAAAATCAGAAAAAAAATTGGACAAAGCAGGGGTGTTAAATTATTTTAAACTATGGACTCACCTCCCAAATGTAGCTGAATATAAAAAGAGGCTGTATCAGTAGTGATCAGATAAACATGAATTTAAGCTATTTTTCCAGTCCATAATTGTGACTTTCTTTCAGTATCACTAATAAAAGAAAAAAAACTTACACTGTCGCGTTTTGGCTACACAAAATAAATATATTTTATTCACTGAAGACTGGAATCATTGTAGTATTACTTTATAATATATTAGGTGAAGCTTCAGCTTCTTACAGGGTATGCTTGTATTATGCTGGACTGCACTTGCTAACAATAAAGAGACTGATGAACTGAATAAAACACTTTGTAATTCACACCTTTCAGTAAGTTATGGAAACAACAATAAATTTAAAGCATCTATTAAAGCATGGAACCAGTAATAATAATTTCCAATTCCACAGTGGTTGTACTGTCAAAACATTTTTCAGTGTTGTCTTTCAGTCCACTAGTACTTTAGGGAAAGCAAGTGCCCGGGAACCAGTTGTTCTGAATTTCAAATGAGCATGTCGCATGCATTCTCACACAAAGGATTTTTTTTTATGCCTGGGTTGATACATTCTAGATCTATTTTAAAGCTATATAATACCTCACACACCATTGTGTGGCAAATTAAATAGTGCAAAGTGCCGGCCATTAAACACTGGAATCTGTGCCACTCTTCTGAATTTTCAATCTTCTGATTTAGGGATACTCTGAACTTGGGCAACTTACAACTCAAACTTGTATTGTCCTGCAGAATAGAAGAAAAGCTCAACCCCACTTTGCTGCCTTTATACTGATCCCCAATGACTGAGACAACATATTTGAAATCCCAGAATTGGGATTTACAAGACAAACTAATGAAAGGACAGAGGAGAAGAAATCCAACAGCACAGAGGATGTTTGGACATGGGCTCATTTCCCACTTGAACGTGGATCTGTCAAAAGGGCTTTATTATAGAAAGTTCCATTTATCAGGAACTGCAGGTGATATTTGCACTCCTTAAAGCATCAATCTTCCGATTTGTGGCAGCAACTTCAACTCCATAAAACCAGCTGAAGAGAACCCGTGCACCTTGTTACAAGTAACGGGTACAACCTACCTAAGAATCCTGCTCTCAAAAACTGCCCTTCTAGTGACGTTTGAAATACTCAGGATGCTCCATTTATTTGAACAGTTCACAGCAAACCTGCAGTAGAAACAGATGCTTGTTTTGGCAACTGCGAAGCATTTTAAAATGCGACTCTTTCCAGGTATACATTTTCCTCACCACTGCGTATATTAATACGTTACCAAGTAAGTCTCTTTATCTTGCCATTTTTATATCATCAAATTGTTCCATTCAGATCTATTTCAGCATGTAACTACTTACAACGAAGAACACTGTGTTCAGTCCCCAAGTAAGTTATGGTTAAAAACTAAACTAATCATGAACACAATGTATTAATAAAAATATATTGCAGAACAGACCAAAAGGCCTACATTTTTAGTTTAAAATTAAAAATATAAATCACAGACATCTTGGGCCTGCTTCTGCCCTTTGTACTGTAGTTGTAATGAAAATATTCCAACAACAAATGACCCCCCACCAAGATAGTAATAAATAGGGTTTTGAGTTACATTTGCCACAAACATGCTAAAAAGCACGTTACAGACCTTTTGTAAAGATATTTGAGAATGTTTTTCTCATATTCCTTTAATGTTAAGATACGTGACAAGCTGTTTTGGAAATCAGTCAAACCTTGAACCCAGAGATACAGGGGCCAGCTCTCAGCAAGATTACAGGACTCACTGTTCACCTCTCAAACTACTCCAGGATTTTCGTCAGCAGACAGAAAATAAATATGGAAAATATGTATGTATCTCTCTGATTTTTTCATGCAAGATGACAGCTATTTCAAAAATAAATCAGTGTTACAAACAAAGATACTGATCTCCTAGAACCTGAGAGAGCAGCTCCATGCAGGCCTTCACTTCAAAAGCAGGCTGAGTTCTCCCTGCTCACCCCCCACTCCTCCAGGAGAGGCTGTGTCTTGCAGTGATGTCTGGAAGGAAGGTACTGCTTTTAGTAGGTGGATTTGAACACATCAGTCAGATGCAAAGGCTCAAGCTACTGCCGTAAGAGCTCTTTGATGGGGAAACTATTGAGGGGAGTGGGGGCAGGGAAGAGAAAATGGCACACAAATGTAACTGGGATCCTTAAATTGCTGCTGTCCTTGCGTGCCTGTATACCCCTAATCCTGGTGGTAGTGGGAGAAAGTTACAAGTAACAAGTGAAAACTGGGCTGCCATGTGGGAGATATATTTTTTAAATTATGCGTCCATTTAACACTGTTCAAGAACTACAACATCTTTAAATGACATGAAATATCAACCTAAGTAGCTCCACATGTGAAAAACACTAACAAAAAATACTGGAGACGGAGCCCCTTGAATTAGTTTGATTTATACGTTGTCCTGGAGGAGAGCAAAGGTGTTAATACTTGTAAAAGCTTGATCGTTACATTTCCAAAAAGTTTTTGCAGCTCATCCAAAATTGATAGGGCAGGATTTAAGTGCCTCTTAGTGTCCTGACTGAGCATTTCTGCTATTTTGGAGTATGCACACATGTACACAAAACATACAGTATTCCAGTACCAACGAGATACACAGCCTAATGCAGCTTTAAGCTGGCAACGCTCCTGAGTAGCTTTAAGTGTTTATCAACTCAGTAGGTCAAAAGTCTGCAGACACTGGGTGGAGCAGCAGTATGCCACAAAACTAACAGTTTGCCGCCTGGAAAAAAAAAAAAAGAGGATAGAAAAAACAGTTGTCAGTTCAGGATTAAAGTAACCGGCCACCTTTCACAGCAGACAATTTTCTGGACTGTAAAAATAAAGGATAAGCCCTGGCCAACTATCGAAACAGAAGATTTTTAATGTTGGTTTGTGAAAACAGCAAGAGGTTTTTCTTTCTGCACAGTGTTTTGCTGAGTGTTACTGCCAGTAGGTTTAATGGCTAAGAGGAGAGAACCCTTTGATTCCGTTTCTCTCACGTGTTTAAATTACTGCTTGCAAGCATGAAATAACTGAATTCTGACAGCCAACAGTAGGTTTGAGTGAGTCTACAAGAAACCAAAAAGAAAAAAGTGGAGATCAGAACTCCAGAGAGGATGATCAATGGGCTTTGCTGTTATGTTGGGCTAAGTGCCGTACAAATCCACATGAAGGGGCAATTTCACTTCCTTCAACTGAAACTCTCTCCCCCTATAACCTCACTAATGACCTGTCCTCCTGCTTAGGTAACGCTGACATTGATTTTTAATCCACAAAACCAAGACTGACACTTTGCCCATGTTATTGTAGGGAAACAGATTTACACAGCCTCTTAAATTGGAAACCCAGTCCACCTTTTCTCAGCACTCTCTTCCACAACCCCCCCACCCCAATACATTTTATCATAGAGGCAAATAAATACTAGTCTTCCCAGCAGAGGAAAATTATATAGACAAAGAAAAATTGATGTGCTAAACTGTTCAAACACCCAGCTTCCCCACCCTATGTTTCTATGTTGTACATGGACAGGGTAAGCTCTTTAGGATAAGGATCTTGTCTTCCAATCTCTCTCTAAAGCACCTAACCACAGTATTGGTATTACATAAATAATAATATTATCATGCCAAGCATGGGTGCTGCAAAGAGAAGAACACCAGAGCATCCTTAAGTCTGAATTTCTGTGGATTTGCATCACAATTCTACAGCAGCTGAAAGTTCTGTGGCTGGATACTCTATGACAATCCATTCTGGACCAGGAAGGTGATGGGAGATTTTAGCTAAAAAGTGAAAAATGGGCAGTAATGTATATTTTAAATGAAACAAGTATTTTAGAGTCTCAGCATGGCAACATAAGGGATTAGTACACTGAATCATAGCAAAACTTAATTTGGTGGGAAAATGTGGTATTGTTTTTAACATTTGCAACAATAATTTCTTCCTGGACTAGAGTCTGCCTGGCAAGTTTCAGCACAGTAAGAATTTTAATAATCCCTGGAAAATAAGGGTTTGTGTTGGAGGTGTTCATTGACTCTTAACCATAGTTTTGTAGCAACCATAAAAATTAGGTCTCTTCCATCTCTTTAGGAATCTAGCCATCTCCTGCCACTGTAGGATCATTACATACAATATAAAGCACAGCGGTTTGTCCACTCTAGTTTTGGATGTCCCAAGAAAAGAAATGTCCATCATTTGCTTAGGAAACTATACAAAACACACTAATCCATTTTGCTGCCTGGAAAAAATTTCCTGACAGCTTGAATATTTTTTTCTTAATTTCATCCCATTATGTCTTGTTATAACCTCTTGTGCTGGTGGAGTTTAAACATCTGACAGTCAGAATTGCAACAGAACAGCAAGTTGAAGAGCAGAGCACTGTCTTTACAATCAGAAGAGCTTTCTAAGAAAGGAGATGACTTTTCTAAAATAGCAGTTATGGTGCTTCCTGGCTGCTGTCCAAATTTAAGATGCACAAGTTGTTTTCATTTCATAAAGCTGTATTGCTCATATATCAGAGCAGCATTATGCTACAAACTCTCAGCACAAGAGGCTGCCATATAACTTGAGAAAAATTATGCCATCTGCTTGAATCAGCAATCTGATATTTTAATTTTCTTCTTTAAAGTTTTCCTACTGACAGAACTTTTTTTTTTTTTTTCTTTTGCTGCTACAGAAGAATTACTGGCAAATTAACAAATTTTCAACAGTGCAAGAACTGAGTTTAGTATTACTGGTATGTACGGGGCTAAAATATCACTCTCAGCAAAGACATCTATTAATGCCTATCTTTTCTTTTCCATGTTTAAGAAGAGGCTGTCTAAGGAATTGTTTAACAACTTTTCTAAGGAGAACCTAGCTCTCAGGTTTGTTTGTCCAAGAAAATATGACTTCACTTCTTGTTAGCAAACTAGATTTCTGAAAATACTGAACTGCATTGTGAGTAGTTCTCATATTCTTGTTATGTATGTGCCTATGTCCTCATGGTTCAGCTATTAGCCCTGTTTCATGGAGAAAGATTTCTACACATTTCTCCACACTGCCCCTATAAACATGGCATTGTCGCATGGGCAAGGGACATTCCCACCTGAGAGGGGAGGGATAGAGCACCCACCTGCTTATTCGCTGTGCTTTATCACTAACCAGGTGCACAGCCACAGGGTGTTTTCTGTGATGGAACCTTCTCTCAGACACAAAGAAGGGAAGAAACTCAAGTCAAAACAAACCATGGAGAAGGCTCAAGAGAGGTCCAAGCTAGGATGTTGTTGCTGATTCTCCTCGCTGACTGAAAACACCCCTTGACACCAGGCAGAACGCAGGCTCCTAGGTATGATGTTGCTATACCTCCCTTCTTGGCAAGATACTAAACTTCTCTCTGGTTGATAATGATGGGTGCATTAATTGACCAGCATGACTAACTGAAGTCTGAAAATGAACACACTCCCCACCTGCCTCAGTTTCCTCATAAAGCCTCAGTGAAACAGAATTACCTTTCTCTGTACAACTCAAATTTTAAACAAAGTTAGGTCTCACCTCTCACTAAAACCTGTATCCCACCTGCCCATGTATTAGGCACCTACCCCAGCTCAGGCTAGTAGGTGGTGCTGGAAAAGCACTACAAAATGACCAGTGTTCAGCATTAAGTTCTCTGCATTTCTACCTGCCTGAGAAACATTACTCCCTAGTTTTAATCTCTTGTTTGATTATGCTACCAGGCAAGTGAACACAACTGTGTAGGTTTGGCTGCTTCACTACACAGCCTTGCATACATGTTCACATTTGCTGTGACCATAGAAACTGAACTGTTTGTAATCACATTTCACTAGCAACCACCATCTTCAGCACAGCACCCTTCCACTGCACACCCCTTATTTGCTCATATTGAAGAAGAGCATTTTAGTTGCAGATTATTTGAAATACACTCTGATAATGGCTGCAATGCCCCCACCACAGGCTTTCATTTTTGCCTTTAGCAAAAGAAACCAATATGCCTTGTGGCATTTTATTTGGTGGTTGCATTTGCCTCAGGTACAGGGGTGAAGGCACCAGGCGAAGGATTGCTGTTTGGTAATAGTTCCTGCCTGACTCACAGAAAACCATCCCCATGGATTTCCTGATCACCCATGTGCTGTTCTATCAGGAATAGTTGAGTCCCACAACATCAGAGCCAATAGTCATTGCCACCTCAAGGCTGTTCCAGATTTATGGAAATTAATCTATTGTAAATAAATGCGTAAATAAGGTAACTTTAGATTAAGAACAATCTATACTGGGTGAGACCGAAGCTTGCTGGGAGGTACCAAGAGTTGTGAGGCACCTCAAACTACCTACCCTACACATGAGAAACCCTTGTCTGTGCCTCTTGGGGGGTCAGCTCCCCAACTCCACTGGCCATAAGCTACACAAGCACTGCTCTCAAGACCTTGCAGGCCCTGCTGTCAATCTATGGGTTAGCAACTGGCACACCCCAGCCCACAAGCCCTCTGCATGTCGCCTTGGAGTATCCAGCTGCTGATCCACTGGACACTCACAGCATTCACAGATTCACTGCTTCCAAAAAACCAAAACACCACAGCTTAACGGTTTCACCTCAGATCACTGCTCCACGTAACACACAGCACTTAGATACGTTTATAGTGAAATCAAGTATAAATTTATTTAACACAAAAATTCAAGTAGTACACGTAGAAGTATTGGAAACAAATGGTTTGTTTAGAGATTCAATGGGGCCCTAAAAATCTAAGCTGAGAGTGTCTGAAACAAGAGGACAAGTGACTGGGATGTAAGGTTAGCCTGCTATTTGCTTAGCAGGAGGTGCCCCAAGAGTCCATAGGGTTTGCCGCATTTGACCATCTGTATGGGAGACAGATCTGAGGTCCCCTGGATCGCCTTAGAGATTCCTGGGAGGGTGGCACTGAGGCAACAGGGGAACTAGTGGCTGAACACGTGCAGAGGTTCAGGAAGGATTTAAAATCCCTGATGGGGATTAGTGAGGTTTTACTGCTCTAAGGCCAGGCAGCTCAGAAAGAATGGTATGATCTCAATACCTGTGATTGATCATTTGATGTGGGTGATTTGGTTCTGGTGTTACTTCCTATAAATAACCACAAAATGCACAATTCATGGGAAGAGGCTTCTGAGGTGGTAGAAAGAGTTAACAATGTTACCTGCAATATACCAAGGCCCCACAGCGGGGTTACACCTCCAACTGTGCAAATCAACAGGTTAAAAGTACACCACAATCGTGAAGCCATTGTAAACAAGATTTGCTGTGCAGATGAGGACTGTGAGACAGCCCCTCTTACTGATTTGGTGACTGAATGCCACAATGATACCAGACTAGAGAGCACAGGGAGGGGAGGGATAGCTCAGTGGTTTGAGCATTGGCCTGCTAAACCCAGGGTTGTGAGTTCAATCCTTCAGGGGGCCACTTAGGGATCTGGGGCAAAATCAGTACTTGGTCCTGCTAATGAAGGCAGGGGGCTGGACTCAACGACCTTTCAAGGTCCCTTTCAGCTCTAGGAGACAGGATATCTCCATTAATTTATTTATTTATTTACTGATTTATATGAAGGGTTAAACCTAACTGAAAAGGCAAATATGGTCATGCTGCAAAATCACCGACAGGTATTTTCCAGCAGGCCAGGCCTGACTCACAAAATGGTCCAAAAGATTAACACTGTCAGACCACAGCCAGTGTCCAGCAGAGCATACCAGACAACTGGCAAAATGCAGGAGCAAATTTGCAAGGAGGAAGCAAGCATGCTAGACATGGGAATAGTTACAGAGTCAAACAACAATCCCTGGGCTTCTCCAGTTGTTATGGTCCCCAAAAAAGCTTAATGCTGTCACAAGTTCCTGGGGCCTACCCTATGCCCAGAATCAATGACATGCTGGACATTTTAGGCAGGGCAAAATTACCAAGGACCCTGGATTTAAAAAAAGGCAAATCCCCTTAGACAGTGAAGCACAGAAAAAAAAATTCACCTTCATAACCAATTCAGAACTTTGTGAGTTTGAAGTGTTACCTTTTAAGTTAATTAATGTAGAAGCCACATTTCAGAGGCTCGTTAATCAAGTGTTGGCCAGGTTACAGGGCTTTGCTCATGCCTCCATAAACGATATTGTAATATTCAGCCATTCCTGGCAAGATCATAAGGATGATGTGGGAACTGTGCTGAAGAGACGCAAAGATGCTGGTCTTGAAGCAAAAGTGACAAAATGTAAGATGGGGAGGCCAAAAGTCCCTTATTTAGGCTACTGGGTAGAAGAGGGATAGATTTGTTCGGATCCTTTAAAAGCGGAGTCCATTGTTAACTGGCCCGTACCTTGAACCAAAAAGCAAGCTCAGTCTTTTATAGGTTTGGCAAATTATTAATGCTGGCTTGTGGAAGGTTTCAGCGACATTATGTCTGCAAGTACAGACCTTTGCAAAAACAGACAGCCTGACAAGGCGGTTTGGACTGCAGCCTGTCAAGAAGGCTTTGATAAAGTGAAAAGAATTTCATTAGAGAAACTGGTTCAAGCCAGTCCTAGCTTTGATAAGATGGCTGAACTCTGCACAGACACATCCAATACAGGTTTGGGAGCTGTGTTAATGCAAGTGGGTCAAGGCAATAAAAAGCATCCTATAGCTCAGGTAAAAAAAATGATCCCCTTCCTCACACTGAAGAAAATGTTCTGTCACACAAAGATAATGTTATGCAATTGTGTGGGCAGTCAGGCAGCTAAGGCCTTACCTATTCCACAGGAAGTCCAGAGTCCTAACAGACCACAGTCCATTGGCATGGTTTCACAGAACAAAAGGTACCAACTCCAGACTGCTACGTTGGAGAGTGCTCCAAGAATGTGATATGGAAATTGTACATATGAAGGGAAGGAAAATGTGGTGGCACATACACTGACCAGGCAGTTGGGCAGGAGCTAACCCTACAGCACCAATGTAAGGGAGAAGGTATGACCCAGGGACACCTTGGTGCTAACTGGCAGATGGCACAGGGTTTCACATGGATCCCCTAGGTCAGATATTTGCATAATAGTTCACCAGAGGTGACATACCTCAGACGTGTTCCTTTCAGGCAGAAGGTAACAGACACCCATCTCCCTGTCTGGCCACTTGTGCATTGGGATGCCTCATAGTGGAGGTCTATTTGCATACTGAGCCACAAGCAAAAGAAGAGATTTCAAAATCTACAACAGAGGAATCTACAGGAATAAGAAAACAGGTGTGTGTGTGGGGGGGGGGGGGGGGGGGGGGGGGGGGGCTCCGTGGAAAAAAAAAAAAAAAATGGGGCGTGTATCTTGGCGTACAAAGTGACACGCTGGGTCCTTCAGCAAAAAGGCCAGCTGACAGCATTCTTGTCTCATGAAAAGAGGGTCACAGCCAGCCGGCTGAAAAGTGATGCAAGGATTTGGGGAGAACAATATTGGTTAGACATGGGAGTATCTTGTTAATGAAGTCTAAGCTCTAGAATGTATGATTTTATTTTATACGTAATCATTTTTTGCCAATACTTCTACTTGCTACTACTTGAATATTATGCTTTATTAAATAAACTTATACTTGACTTTACTATAAACATATCTAAGTGCTAGATATCTAAGTGCTGTATGTTAAGCGGAGAAGTGATCTGAGGTGGAACTGGGGTGTACCGTTTCTTCAGAAGCAACAAATCTGTGAATATCACCAGCGTCCACTGGAACAGACGGGACACACGGGCTGGGGTGTGCCAACTGCTAACGTAATGTGACAGCAGGGCCTGTAAAGCCTAGAGGGAAGTGCTTGTGTTGCCCGTGGAGTTGGGAAGCTGACACATGGCAGGCACAGACAAGGCTTCATCACGCTAAGGGCACGCAACAGCAAGGTGCCTCACAACCCTGAGTACCATCAGCAAGTATCATGGTGACTACTGTTTCCCTTGTTAGTAAACGCACAATCAAATGCTGGTCCATGCCTGGGAAATGACAGAAATAAATATGACGTGTCCCCTTTGATATGAGATCTTAGAAAAAAAGACTTTAGCCAAGCTAAAAAAATTCCTCAAACTCCATAAAGATGTTTTTCTTCCCAAAAGGAGCCCCTGTGGAAGGTCTGAAACCCCAGTCTAATTTTCTGTAATTACCCCTGGTGCAGGCCTGCCATTGGAGTCTCCCTCAAGGGAAAGAGCTTTGGGTAGACAATGGTAAACATGGGCTGGCTGCAACGGTGACAGTGTCCCAGAGGGCAGTGCAGTAATTCCAAGAGACTTTTAGGTAATGAGATTGGAGTCAGGAAGCTGAAATCTAGGGAAGAAAAGAAACATAAGTTAAGATCCTGGATTGTAACAAAACAAATTCATGATAAGGTTCAACATAGTAAACATGTTCCATAACCCCTTGGTGTACGAAATATCTCACTAATCCTCTCGGTAACATCTAGCCATGTCAAAGAAGTAGTAAACTAAAGCCAATTATTTGCAAATAAGATGAAGCCCATAATGGTACTTGCAATGTAAATAAGGGAAGTTAACAGAAAACTGCAGGCATAGGATTAATCAGCCCCAAACAGCTAGATGAAGGTGCTGTTGCTCAAGGAAATACAAAAAACACCCTCAAAAACAGCAAATACTACAAGCAGTAAAACATTTCTAAACAGAGGCATTGGCTGACTCAAGCAAAACTTAGAATTAAAATGTGGAGGATTTAGTTAAGTGTGAGTCATTAAATTAGATCTATTAACCAAAGCGAGGTTCCCTGTCCTAATCAGTGGCTATTCAACAGTCAACAATACAAGATTCTAGGAAGGAAGTCAGTATCAATTTCTTTACATAATTCAATAAATAACCACCCCGCAGCACAGAACAGTTTATACGAACCCCAAACAATTAATCATCCAGCAATTCAAAATTGCCAACTATAATCAAAGCCATACCCACAGCCATCTCCGAAAGACGCAGCAAATACACAGCCTTATTAGTTTGCCCCACAGGTCAACAGATCTCGCTCTTCTATACCCAAGAGGCTCCAGCGCCCCCATTTGCTACAGCTGTGGGAAGTGTGATTTCTCAGTTGGGCAGGCCCCAGGCCACTTAGGACTTTCACAAGTCAAAGCCAACATCTGAAACTCCAACAGAAAACAAAGAGGCAGCCAGTGCTGCACACTAGTATAGGTGTTAACAGATCAAGATGAGGGGCAGAATTTAATAAATAGATTTCTAGAATTTGCACCGTACTCAGTTTCCAAATCAATGTAAAGTGTAACCCCATGTACAGTGCAATCCAGGAGGCTAATTTTGAGGTGACAGAGGCCTGGATAACAGAAGCATGGTCTGCATCTAACAGAAGGGGGTCACAACTTGCTGACCAGGCAAAGATCGAGGAAAGCCAGCCTGGTCACTGCTGTAATACGATTTTGTAACACTAGCTGAGGAGCTAACACCACCCTTGAAATTGCAAACACGAGCAACCAATAGTGGACCTAAAAAGGTGATATTACCTCTGCCACATCCTCCATCTCCTTCCCACAACACATTTCATCCCTGTCTGGATTGACCTTTACTAGTTTGCCCTTGACCATGCCCCAGTCTCAACCAGATTTTGACTGTCACCCAAGGTGTTGCCCATCGCCTTTAATAATGGTTACTATAACCAGACTAGAAAGATACAAAATAAACCGTAGTGCAGAAATTTGAGGATAGGGAAGATACTTAAAATCGGTGACTCCTCATCTCTCAAGCACTGGCCAAAGCCATAATGCTTGCAACCTTACACAAGTTTTCCTGCACCCTGCCAACACACTTCATATTGATTGTGCAACACTACCCTGCCTTTCTAAACTAAAACCTTGCTTGTGACAGTCTTGCCACACTGTGTGGTGGTTGTGACATGGATAAATCTTTATGAGAAAAGAGATAAGATTACAATCATCTGTGATTTAAAGATCTGAATTCTGCTTTCCAGAGGAGAGAAGTTAATAATCCCTTTTGCCCAAAATCCCCAGCCTGTCTTCCAAAAGAGATTAGAATTTCACCCATGCACGCGCGTACACAGAAAATTGCACCCTGTGCTGTATGATCACTGTACTGTTATAATCTTGGTATTTGAACAACTCCTTGTTTTTTCCCCTAAGTAACAGAAATCAGAAACACACAACCTCTAACAGGTCATTAATTCATCCCCCCAGCACTGCAGAATTGTTTCCTCCAATATAGTTTCCTGTGTTTGGCCCACTCTTAACATGTGGCTTCCATCACTGGCCTAAATAAATAAAAATGTTTGGGGCAGAGAGAAGTCCAAGCAGCAGACTGTCAGCTCTTCACTGTACACTTTTTCTTGGCAAAAGGAACTACTTCAATGGTTATGATTCACGACAATAATTCCAGTCCAAGCTTTTCCCTGATTAGCCTTTTTACATACATCTCCTTCCATGGTTCACAAATTCCCAAAGCACTGAATATGATAGATCCACAACATTCCCCAATCTAACAAAGTCTGAACCCCCAAATTACTCTTAAATATTGGTATCTCATGTGGTAGTATGATGTATAACCAGGGGAGCCATGGGCCAGTTTTCAACAAAGAGTGTGAACTGGAGCAGAACGAAAGCAGCTCAGCTGTCATGCTGTACTGAAATGGCCAACGGCTGCTAACATTTCTTCTGCCTTATGTATAACAAGTCTGCCAGTTTAGGAGCATGCTGCCTGGCAAGGAGTTGCATTGTTGGACAATGCATCTAATCTTGCCTCGGGAATAATAATTTCTCCCTCTTCTATCCCATTAAAGTCAGTTTCTTCTCCACTGCAGACTGTGAAAAGCCTGCATCCTTTTACATTGTTCTCCCCCCCCCACTCCAAATTCTAACCACCACTTTATCTTTGGAGCCCAACGTTTAGCAATGTCTTTTGGGCCAAAACATTTTTGTTGATCACTTAAATGTAATTTGCTGGAATAGACATTTTAAAACACTGATGTTTCCAAAGCACTTTGAAGAGCTCTATAAATGCTACTGTCACCTCTGAAAAGACCATGCATTTGCTGGGTCTTGTCAAGCTCTGAAGGATGTGAATAGACAATTAAAGTACCTTTTAAAAACCTGTAGTAGGTGTTATAGAGTGTCCTCATGGCTAGCTCTTGCAAAGGCAGCACATGATCGGTCTCTGTCCCTATAGACTTCACCTCTGCTGGGAGGAACACAGTTAATTGTCCCGATGAAAAGGAGAGCAGCTTCACCTCTGAAACCTGAATAGGGGAGCCACAGCTGGAGGAATACAAACCATTCAGAATGCAGTTAGCCAGAACAAAAGTAACCAATGGGGAAACAATATGCAATCAGCTCAAAGTGCACTTTACACTGTTCTACAGAACACTGCCTTCCTAGAATAAGAGCTCACTCTTATACACAGTGTGCGTTTCAGATTGAAATGAATTTAGTACACAGTCTCACTGCCTGTAACAGGCTAGATGTGGCCCATTTGGAGGTCTTTACTAATCAAGTAATACCCAATACCTAGAAAAAATGAGAACAGAGCCAAAAGGTGAACCAAGAACATTGACTAACAAAGTCTAGTGTCCCTAGCTTTGCCTCAGAGTCCCTCTTGTTTAGCCAGACACTAAATGAACTGTACAAATTGTTTTTTACTATTACAAAATATTTTACTAATGGGTCAATGTCTTACCTGACAATTGGGTTTCTGTGCTTTGAACCAACCAGCTCAGAATGATAATGGATTTCCCACTCACAACCCGTCAGGCAAAATATAGCCATAAGGCATTTAGTGCTTTAAGTGCCACTGAATGCTGCTTTCCCCCTCCCAGAGTCCCCCCTGAAAAGACGTTGGTGAAAATGAGAAGATAACCCAGCAAAATCAGCAAATTCTGCCCTTTCCAGCCCAAGTTCAGAAGAAGGGGGGTTCTCGGGATCAGTGGATCCAAACAGAGCAGTTTAGTTTGTTGGTAAAAAATAATAATAATAAAAAAAAATCCCTACTTGATTTCTGCTGCAGTCTATCCAGACTATTAAAAAGCCAGGAACGACACAAACAAATTGGTATTGTTTATAACAACTCAAAAATTGGAAGCAAAAGAGCAGCCTTGTTAAGGTCAGATCTAACAAACAGAACAAGAAAAGGGGCAAAATAACTGAATTGTCAACTTTTCCAGGTATTGAGACCAGGTAAAGAAACCAGATCCTAATAGACCTGAAAAAAGAAAAGGAAAGGAAAAAAAAAAACTCCACGTCCTAAATAACAAGGAACTTCAATTCCACGGGACAGTGGATGAAAACCTCAGGAGAACTGATGAATGGAACGCAGCATGAAGCAGCAGACTGACAAACCTCTCTACCGACTTCAGTCAATATTTATTCTTCCTTACAAAGTATTGATGGGGCGGAGGAAAGTCAGGAAATAAAAAATCAAATGTATCATGTCAGGCCTCAACAACCTGTGCCTACAATACAGGATCTTTCAGTAAATACAAAGGAAGGGAAATGTTCTGGTGTGAGGAATTGAATTTAGCTGATCAATCCCCTATTAACCTCAATAGATAACACAGGTAAAATGCACTGAATACTTACTTCAATATCAACTGAGCCTCACATCTACCTTATGGCCTAGGTTATTAATAGCCACCTCTCCATCCCCCAAAGTTGCAAAATAGAATGGTAGCATGTTTAAGGGGATAACTGTATAAATTGCTGCCAGGATGTGTCAGGAGGAAAAATACTGCCCTAAGAATAATAACTGGTTATTAATAGGCATGAAGGATGCACAAAAAATGCCATGATGTAAGAAAGAGAAAAAATACCATCCCCCTTCTCGCATATAGTGATCCTCTGTGTGGCTAGGAAAAACTAAAACTCCATGTTAAAAGTGGAGTTGCAGAACACTTTAGTAAATAAACCACAGGAGTAAAACTATGATCATATACATTCAGAAGGAATGACAGGCTCAAAACAGTAAATCGATCAGTGGAAGACAAGTGGAAGAACAGCAAATCCAATCCAGGGAAAGTGAAAACAAAAATTTCAAGTGCTGAGATCATCACATATATAAAGGTGATATTTCAGCCAGCCTGACAACAGAATTCATGGATTCATTACTTGAGCAATGTAATTTACATTTTATTTTCAGAGTCTTAGCTTTAAATTAACAACAAGTCATCAGTTTTCCTGTCCAGACAGTGACCAGATAAAGCATTAAACAACCATATCTTCATCTCAGGCCTCTAATCCGTTTACCTGACCAGTAAAGACCTTACACCAGCCACTAATGCTTACTATTGCAAAGGACACAGAAATGCTTTCCATTCAGTACATCAACTCTACTTGAGCACGTTGTTCCTTATACCGTTAACAGTTACCCTATAGAAGAGGAGATGAGAGTGCTACCAGCAAGTGGAGTTTCTTTTATGTTAGATTTTTTCCCCCTAAATAGGTGTATTTTAAGTTATATCAAAGATGTCTATAGAGCAGGGATCGGCAACCTTTGGCACACAGCCCGCCAGAGTAAGCACCCTGACGGGACAGGGACGGTTTGTTTACCTGCCGCGTCTGCAGGTTCGGCCGATCGCGGCTCCCACTGGCCGCGGTTCGCCGCTCCAGACCAATGGGGTCTGCGGGAAGTGGCGGCCAGCACATCCCTCAGCCCGCGCCGCTTCCCGCAGCCCCCATTGGCCCGGAGCGGCGAACCACGGCCAGTGACAGCCACAATCAGCCGAACATGCTGACGCGGCAGGTAAATAAAGTGGCCCGGCCCGCCAGGGTGCTTACCCTGGCGGGCTGCGTGCCAAAGGTTGCCAATCCCTGCTATAGAGTATGGAGAGGTGCCTTTTATTAGTATGTACAAATCCATACTAATTAGTATGTAGCTATCCCTTGGGGGAGGGATAGCTCAGTGGTTTGAGCATTGGCCTGCTAAACCCAGGGTTGTGAGTTCAGTTCTTGAGGGAGCCACTTAGGAATCTGGGGCAAAATCAGTACTTGGTCCTGTTAGTGAAGGCAGGGGGCTGGACTTGATGACCTTTCAGGGTCCCTTCCAGTTCTATGAGATAGGTATATCCTATTTTGCTTACTAAAAAAGAGTACCAGTAGATTCTGTCATAAAATGATTACCTTTCACATAAGGAATCTGAAAAAATGTGCAGCTCCTGTTAATTTAGCATCTTTTTAGAAATAACCCTGAAAGTGCAGCAATAGTTTTGTTCTTAATTCGCAAATATAAATGCTATCTTTGTTTTGGCGGAAGGGACAGAAATTTATTCACAAAGATGAAATCTGGCTAAGTGGCAGGGGGAAGCATTTTATCAAGTCAAATTGCTTGGACTGACCACTTCTGTTATGACCGATATTGGGGAGACCAGAAGATCAGCTGTACCCAAATGCAGCCCATATAGTGCTAAAATGTGGTCTGTGGCTGCCCTCTTTCTGTAATGGTGAGGACAAAGCTGATCAGCTGAATCGGTTTTTGTTGCTGGTAATAATTTTAAAAAGTTGTTATATTTTTATTCATGTATTAAAGAAAGTACAAGTACTCCCACACACCACGATGTGGCTTTGTTTCCCCACATGCCTTAATGGAGCGCTATGAGGGTTAGTTAGTTAATGTCTATGCAATGCTCTGAACGTGTACAGCTTTGTCTACAAGACTTATGACATTTTCCGTTGTAGCTACTACTGGTGTGGCTGCACCAGTGGCGGCAACAGTGGAAGTGTAGTCAAGGAACTACTGGATACTGCCATTTTAGCCATCTCATCTAGACCTGCTGTATTCAATTGTGCTTAGAATGCCAACGGCTAACATAAAATCTGATTAGGATATGAAAATGAAGATATAGTAAATGAGGAGGAACACTAGCAGACATCTTTTAAAAGGGACTAAGTCAAATGAAAATCTGGTTTATGCAGACAGTTGTAAAATAAGATGACGCGCCATGCCACTGAAAAAATTAGCATAAGGTTAGTTTTAGATACAAACATTTTAACAGATTAAAATGGAGAATTAAAGATACAGTGAAAGGCAAAGATGGGGTACAAAATGACTGAAAATAAACAGACCTGTTTGATCAAACCTGTTAGCACACTTTTAGATATTACCATTTGTATTTTCCCCAAAAAACAAACAAACAAACAAACAAAAAAACCCCAATATAATTGTTTTTCTTAACTTTTAATTCACTCTAACATCTTGTTTACAATTTATTCAGCTTTATGACAAAGCAAAACAAACACTTAAAGTAGATATACAAGCACTTCATTTATTGAAGGATAAGGTCAGTAAAATTTATGATCAGCACAGAGTGACCCCACCTGGCAATAGTAAATTGTGATACAACTGCAAAATACTTATACATCACAGGAATAAACAAGAATATGAGCGCTGGCTATCAGGAAAACGTTAAAAATTCTCAGATGTGTAATAGTTAACATACTTAAACAAGGCATGGGTTATAAATGTGGAGTTTATAATTAATAGTTGAGAGGAATAGCAGTGTGATTTTATAATGAGAAGATACTGGGGCATGTACTCCTCTCACCTCTTTTGCACCAGCATAACTACATTAATTTCAGTGGAGCTACTCCTGATTTAAGCTAGTATAAGGGTATGTCTATACTTACCCGCTGGTTCGGCGGCAAGCAATCGATCTTCTGGGATCAATTTATTGCGTCTTGTCTAGACGCGATAAATCGATCCCGGAAGTGCTCGCCGTTGATGCCGGTAATCCTGCTCTGCAAGAGGAGTAGGCGGAGTCGACGGGGGAGCCTGCCTGCCGCGTGTGGACCCGCAGTAAGTACCTTTAAGTTCGAACTAAGATACTTCGACTTCAGCTACGTTATCACGTAGCTGAAGTTGCGTATCTTAGTTCGAACTGGGGGCTTAGTGTGGACCAGCCCTAAGTCAGAGAAGAAACAGGCAAGTGTCCTGGAAAGCACAGTTTCTCCTCACATCAAACTCACAAACATAAGATAGCTTAGGATATTTTTAAATATACAAAAGTTGGATTGCAATTTGTAGAAAAGTATTTAGTCACTTACTGAGTGCCAAGCACTATAAATAGTTGCTACAGGGATGTTATGAGAATATGAATAAGAGGAAAGCCCTCGTGAAATTCTATTCAGATATGGTCCATTCTAGGCAAAGGTCTGAGAACCCACTGACTTGTCCAGTGCTGCAATGTATGGGATGCAAACACTGTAAGAGATGTTTACTTATTAAAGATCATTGAAACATATTTAAAAAACACAGAATATACCTATTGGTCTTGATTTTGGAAACGCATGTTTCAATGAAGCCTACATTTTGGGCCAAATTTAAACACGATCTTCAGCTTCATGCCCTACATTATCAGTAAATGTTTCCTACAAATATCTACAAATGCTCTGGCTGTTGTGGCTTAGAATGAAATATTAAATGTTCAGCAAATTAATGCAGAAGATTACAAAAGTAATATAGAACAGGCAGCCAAAGTAATGCCTTCAAAGTAACATCAGTCCTGAATGAATAACCCAAAATATAGTTCAGTTGTATCACACAGGCATATATTTATGGAGAGCGTTAGGAGATAAAGGTATGCAAGACATTAAGTTAATTCATGCTTACCCGCTGCAACCAATGACTTTATTATACAGATAAGAAGGGAGCCCTTTCAGGTGAATATTGTTATCCACATAAACATATTGCAGTTCTCGAGAACGACCTAAATCTGGGTTTTAGAAAACAAAAAGAGAAAGGAGAAAAATGAAGTAATGATAATTCCCAGCAGAAATAATTAAAATCAAAGTGAGTTGATTGGACTCTCTGTAAGTGAACATGAAATATTACTCTAGGTCAGTTTAATTTGACTAAATAAAATCTGTGGAGAAAGTATTTTTAAAAAGAACCTGGTACACACCAAAGTTACTCTAAAAATACCCAACCCCTTTCTAACATTTCTGTAAATCCCATTATGAAGGGAATGTCACTGTGAGAATGAATTTACTAATTCTGTCAATTTGAAAAGGCAAAATGATTCTTGGCTCACATCTATAGGTGACCTTTTAAAAACAGCAGGTCAAGTCCCCTGGAAGTATCAAGTGATGTAACTCCATTGAAGTCAGAGCGCCATCACTGTACAGAAACAGAATGTAGCCTACATGGGACAGTTCAAGATAATATAATTTAATGAAATTCATTATAAGTAATGCAAACTAGTGGCCACCTTTGACTTTTCAGGTGTTTACTGACATAAGGTGTAGGGCAGCTAACAGAACAGGAATTGTGTAGTTCTATACACATTGGGTTAAATTCAGTGCTGACTTACTATACACCCAGACAACCACATTAACATCACTAAAATTGCATGAGATGTAAGACAGGGCAGATTTTGCATGAATGAAGCAGAGTTTTGGCCACTGAAACAAAGTGGTTTGCATATTACACTAAAATTACAAAACAAAAAATTCAGATATTGACAGCTGATTATTATACTATAGAAAGTGTACATACAGGTTTCCAACTAAGAAAAAGCAAAACAACATTTCCTATGGCTATTAGTAAGCTGTCAATACACTTCAAGCATTGACTGTTACATCTTTTCATAAAAATAGTTGGGAGGCTGGCGGGATTGGCTGGTGAGGGATGTTTAGAAGAGCCAAATAAGTAGAGCATGGCTAAGCAATAAGTAACAGGAGAGAGATACGCTAAGAACCTACAAGTATTTAAGAGTATGAACACCAAGCATGGATAGGTTCGATTTAGTTTGGAACGTAAGAGTCCAAGAAAGAGAAAGTTAAAGGGAAAATTCAGGTTTCCAGGAAATAAAAAAATCCTGTCAGCAAGACATAGTCACTCGAGGAACAATCTGTTAAGGGAAAGTAGCGACTCATTAACCTGAGACACTTAAATCCAAACTGAACAAAACACTAAAAAATGTAGTCTAAGAAACAGTCCTGAACTGGCTGAGAAACTGATCACTTAGATCATCTAAAGTAGTCTAGCCCATCTCTAACTTTGATGACTTTCCAAATATTAAGCGTATATTCAACTGTAAATTCAATTAAAAGCACAATCAGTTATTTTAGAAAGTTTAAGAAGTAAAAATATTTTTTTTAAAACAAGCAACAGAAGGCTCCTATCTGAAGGTCTAACCACCTACAAAAGCATTTCTGCAGAAAAGGCTGAAATGCATTACTAAACTGAATATGCCTGTATGCCTCCAACATATTAATTATGGGTTTAAGCAGTACAGATTTAGAAATTAAGGAAGGTAAAGAAGCATTTGGATGAAAATGCATTGAATGAGCCAAGTGAAAGCTACACTATCCTAGACTAATTCTGACTGCTCATCTTCACCAACCAGCAATTATTTTGATTGGCATGAAAATATAAAAGGAAACCTCAGAGACTATGTTCTTCTGCCCATTTCATGAACACAACTAAAACACCGATACCAGAATACAAAGTGCAAACGTTCTCTATTATGTCTCATTCTGTTAGATAGGGTAGGAGCAATAAATTGTCTAAGATTTTTTGCCAGCCACTACAGTCAGGATGTTATATACATGTGTAATGTTTTATTTATGCATAGGTCTCTGGCCATCATTCAACTCTGATGAATCACAAGCTACCATTTTACTCATTTCTATTATAGTTTTCCTGATCCCACAAAGTGTTGAGTGTCCTCAGCTCCCGTTGACTTTAAAAAGAATCAAAGACACTAGAAACCTTGCAGGATTGCACCCCAAAAGGTATGCGCAGAGAAGATCAACCTGCTACAGACACAATCAAACACCATGGGAAAAAAAGATGAGATGGGGGAAAAAAGTGTCCTAAAATTCAACAAGCAAATGAGGATACAGTTTAATCTAAAAACGTAATCTCGCTGTATGCAGTTATGAATCAAGTATTATGAGAGAGGACAGTGTTAAGGTTTCTACATCTTTAAAAAAATCCTCTCACTTTGTAAGAATCAATTTGATTGTTCCTGAGTGGTATTTTTAAAAAACTGCTTAAAAGAAAGTAGTTATCCTTCAAGTAACAGTACATTCAAATATATAAAATATGGGCTAGGTGGTGGTCTAGTGACAGCACAGTACTGTTGACATTGGGCTGCCCTTTTGCAGGCATCTGCAAATGAAATCACCGCAAGGAACGCACAAACATCTGAAATACAGATAGGGGGAGAAAAAAAGGTAAGAGAGCATCTCAAACTGCCAAAGTAGCCCCACTAAATGACAGTGTTGAAGGGCTCCAAGTGGTGTCATGTTATGTCTTTCTCACCAAGGAATTTTGAAGGCTGGACCATTAGTGCTGGTGCTAGAAAGAAACCTAACAGATTCCCTTTGTGGAGTAAAAATGTCAGAGTGATTTGATTTAATACATTACTTTTACAAAGGGCCTGATCCTGCACCATTCTACACTATGGGAATTTTGCCTTAGACTTAAGTTGGACCATAATAGAGCTCCCAATACGCTTCGTTTGAAATGAAGTACTTGACTATCACAGGGCACCTTCTGTCCTGAAGAAATTCCTGCTAGGAAAGTTATGAGACACACACACAAATCCCTCTGCAGTATACAACCATCTTCACTTCCTGTCCTGAAATGCTGCGTGGTGCTGCTGTGCATTGCGAAAGAGCCTACACCTCAAATGGCTGTTGGCATTGGTTCAGCGTAGGTTGGCTACATATAGTTTGTTAAACGTTTTAGGATCCTTCTCCATAAAACAATATAAATGTAGGGTACAATGTAAAATATTGTAGCACTAGAACAGAGGCATCCAATAAAATATAAGCATACAGCACTTACTGCAGCACATCGAAAAGCTGAAAAAAATGTAGTCTCATGTTGTAGAATCCAGTTATACCAATGAGAATAGAAAACTGCGGGCTGCTGGGTGACTTGAATGTGTTACTGTTTATCCTACTGGTCTTGGGGAGAAGGGAAGAAAATTCAAAAGGTTCTTGTTTTTAAACTTATTTATATATAGACATATATGGGATGAAAATCAGGTTATGGTCTTTTAAAAAATACATTCTCCAGAGCTGCTGTTTTAAGCAACAAGCCTAAAAGGGAGCTGTGTTTAATTTCTCCCCTCTGTTTGGATGTTGCTATTTAGACTGTAAGCTCTTCGAGACAGGGACTGGGACTTCCCGAATGACTACAGTACTTCTGGGTGCTACATAAACGTCTCCATCTCAGTTTGGGCAAAACTCCTTAACTTTAAGCTCTCAAATCCCACAACAGTGCATGACTTTACATATTTCATGTTCTAATGAAACATATTACATTAATTACCATGCATCTCCTTCCAACTGCCAAAGATTAAAAAAAGTGTCAAACACCACCACAAACAAGATTTTAATTTTAGTAGTTACCAGTTTAAGAAGCTCATTCTACACCATACCCACTCGTTTTTATGTATTATCCCAGGCAATAAATATTGTTAAAAGCTTTTTGATAAACACACTTCTTTTGAACTCTATAAAATAAAGAAGCTGTCCATCTATGGAAAGGCTAAAGCTATAAAGAAAGTTTTCATGTGGCTTTTGCAAGCACTACACTGTGTCTAAAACATTTCCACTTTCCTCCTTCCAGACTCTCAGATCAAAGACCTTTCTTCTAGAAGTGACCAAATACTACAAGTCCTGAACAAACCCCAATTCTATTTTTATTTATTTATTTATTTATTTAACCTCAAGGCCCTGGCATATGCATTCCACATGGCTGAAGACCAAACAAAAGCTCGTGTGTCTGCACTGATGCTCTTTTAACCGTATTGTGAAAGCAAGCATACAGTAAAAGCATCTACTGTGGTAGAGGACCTTTGTTGAGTGTACACTGATAATTACTAGACCCATTTGCTTAAAGAAAAGCACATATAAACCCTGAAAAAAGTGATACAACACTGAGATTTTACTGTCATAATATCCAGATGTCACCAAACTCTAGATATAATGGTCCATAATTACTTTATTTAAATCATTTTATGAATCATGACAAATTGTTTTAATTGTAACAACAAAAAGCCAGACTCCAGTTTCTTGCAACGGAATTTTTGGTTTCAGAAGTTGTAGGATTTGCATTCGATACTTGGAGAATTTTTAAGTCCTGTTCACCTTCTTCAAACAAAGAGTAATATATAGCTCAGTAGTTTCATCTTCAATTCTAGAACACAATTCCTAAAGCCATTTACTGGAACAGAATGGAAAATCACCTGATCTACAAAGACAAGCAAAAGGAAGGTGCAGAGAGCTTGGTCAGGATATATAGGGCTACATAGTTGGACTCAGAAATACATTTCAGCATATTTTTAGAAAATTGTCAAGGGTGCCCAGAGCATTGGATGGGTACTCTTTTATTGCTTAGTATAAATTTAAATAGTGTCAGTACTGAGAAAACCGACCAATTTAAGAGTTATATTGGCATATGCAGGTATTTAAGTCTCCTTTGCAAGACCAAGTAAGTAATCCTGTTTTTGTTCAACTATCTGTTCAGGCATCTGGTTGAAAAGGGGGGAGTGGCATGGTATATTTACATTATATTGGGTCAATCTATTTAGCAAATAATATACTAATTCTGCATGGACACAAAACTTAAGAAGGGTGAATTTTAAAACCAAAAGAGAAAAAACACAACAGCACTCGCTTAGAGAGTATATCTACCCTGCATTACAACACAAGCACAGGACTATTACTGGGGTACATCTGGGAATGTCAGCCTATG